AATCCTGCAGATTTTGTTTCGCACGCCGGTAAATAAAACTTTTTTGGTGTGATATCCAATTATGACGCCCACTCCCGACACAGAGTTGTATATTCCACTGCGGTAGGATCTCTTCATCCAGCTTCCGTCGGCCACGACGGGGATGTGGGGTATGCCGGATTCGGGAATAATGTCGCCTCTTTCAATGGCCAAGCATTTTTCTTCCTCGGCCGCTGCTATCATCTCTTCTTCTGCAGCATCAATTAACGAATTTACAATTTGATCGTGATGCTTTCTAAACGGTTTCTTCGACATGCAGGGTATGTTTATTGCTGCAAGAAATTCTTCCATTTGGGCATAGCTGCCCCCAGTGAGAATTGTTCCAGCCACGGCGCTCTGGTTGGTGTTCATTTCTTGAGTTTCGTCGGGTTGACTGTGGATCTCACCTTTGTATTGGCACATAGTGCACATTACGCTGAGGGTGGTCGTCAGGCCCGATCGTTTCGTGCCGGTTATTTTTAGGTGCCTAATTCCACAGCGTCCTCTATTTATTGCATGGTGTCCTATTTTCTGCATTTCAGCAAACATGTGCTGCATGTCCACAACACTCAAGCCACTTGAGAAAGACGATTGTTCTTGTGGCTAGTTCATCACTACTTCTTCTATAATGAAGTTTTCCCGTTCGCTGGTTGCACTTTCTACATCTGTGCCTTCTTTTATATTTTGTATTTCTTGCATTTCTCCTGAACTCGCCGTTTCAGTTTCTTCGTCCGATGGCATGTGAATAATCTTTTCTTCGGCGTGTCTTCGTCCATCGGATGTTGACGGTTCTTCTAGATGTTCTTCAGCAAGTTCTTCTGGCCGACTAATTACATTACTGTCATGTACAAATTCTTTGGAATCGTTCTTTTCCTGAAGGGCTAAGCGCCGTCTCTTTTCGCGGTATGCTCTTTTCTTTGAATATCGCTTTTTGAATAGCCTTAATTGCACCCCACGATTTGCATTTATGTTCGAGCGATTTTTTTCAGAATTATCTTCCACATCTTCTTTGATTTCTTCGGTGTCCACATTTTCCGTGTCACTCATTTCACTTTTGACACAAACTTTCCTTCACAAATCACAGTTCAAAACGCGCAAAAGAATCGAATACTGGATGTAGTCGATTACACGATTGAAGAAAACTGTCGCGAAGACGTAACGCACGAGGAGCCTTTTGTCGTGTTTTGGTTGGCGGCGCGAGAGTCACGGCATGATAATGTAAACAGACGAGAAGTCACGCGAGAGTAAAAATTTAATCTTTTACAGTTTTCAATATACTTTCATGAAAATGTTACGAACAAATTGAGGAGATTCTCCCGATGAAAATTAGTGCAAACACGACATCATTCGAACCATTTTTAATACAAACATAATTTTTATCGCAACGTTACATATGAATAAAAATTGTTCGATTACATTCAAATTTGGCCTCATTTTCATCGGAAGAATCTCCTCAATTTATTTATGACATGTTCAATAAAATATAATGAAAAATGTAAAGGTATACATTTTTATTTATGCCTGATTCCTTACGTGCTTACATTGTATGCCGACGGCGCACAGCGGTGAAAAAACGTAAAAAATAAGAAAAAATGCAACCACCAATAACTTGATTTTTGAATTGTGTTTTATGTTTTTTAGAAGTTATATGCATTGATTCAAATTTAAAAAGATTTTCCGTTCTAACCTTTTAAATAAACAGGTGAGCAATGGTTTTCATTAAAATTAAAAAACATAAAATTCGCATTTTTTCCCATTTCGAATTGTTTGGAAATTTTGTACAATGAATGTTGTTCCAACTCGTAAGATTTCTGTTATCGCAGAAAACTTTTGTGCATATTTAAAAATTCATGGGTTTTGTTACGTTGCTCCTCGTTGTTTACGTTGCCGAGTGACGTACCGAATTTCGGCGGAAAAACCCGAAGGGACAGCGCACATCAACAAGGGAGACGACAGTGAGCATAGTTGAAGAGGAGTGGGGGTACTTAGTCCCACGATTCTGGCATCACTGGCCATCAGATCACTGTAACGCTTCACCGAGATAAGTAGTGAGCACACAGTGTACTGTACACTAGCAAAAAGTGAATATTATAATACCGTACAGTGTAAAATAATGGTTCCGAAAGTGTTTTCTTCTTCCAAGTCAACGTCATTCGCAATATTTTCGATAATATATCATTTTTATCACAATTTCTACTTCGATAAAATTTTTGCCAAGATGTTTATTAGATAAACAGTTTTGCCCAATTCTGTGCTCAACTCTGCTCATGAGAACTCGGGTCTCTCACCCGGTACAAAGGAATGGTCCTATTTCGAATAGAGTGTATTTTTGTTCGATATTTTTGCAACACCCTGTATATGTATATCACAGGTGGGTAAGTGATCGCTCACCTCTGATATATATGTGCAGCTATAATTAAAACATCTAATTTTTATTTTACTGTTTCAGATAAAAAAAGTAATAAGAAGTTTTTTATTTCGTGGCCGCCGTGGTGGCCAGCGCGGGGCCAGCGTGGGAGCCAGCGCGGGAGCCAGCGCGGGGGCTGGCGCGGTGACCGGCGCGGAGGACGGCGTGGAGGGTGGCGCGGTGGCCGGCGCAGCGACACTCCATTGTATATAAATTACTATATTCAATAAATTTAAAAAATATAATAATCGTTCGTTTTTTCAAATTACCATCCTTTCTTATATACATATTTGTAAGATAGAATGTTGGTTGGAATATCTATCCGTTTATTATAGAGAGAACAAGACAATAAAAACAATACAAGTCGAAACAGGACATATACTCACTGCCGTGATAAACAAATAATCGTGATCCGTAACCGTAGCCGAAATCCGTAATCGTAAGCCGTAATCGTAATCCCTACTCGTAATCGTAATCGTAATCGTGATCGTCGTATCGTGGTTTTCGTATGACTCTCTTTACGCGCCGCGGACGCGTCCTTTTTATCCACGCGTCGGTCAACGTTCTTCCTTTGTTTCGCACGTTCGAGTCAACGGACTTCGACGCCCGCTATTCGCTTTAGCGGACGCTGACGTTTCGTTGCTCGTCCGCAGTATATCAACACATTTCGATAACCATAATACTGCCGACGCTCACGTACACACACACGCATTCGTACACGCTGTCAGGCATAGAAGGGTTCGCGAATCCCGGTCAGCTGTTTTGAGTTCAACGTACTCGCAAACTCTGCTATTAACGCTTGCTTCCTACATATTATATATTCAATTGTAATAAGTTGTGTAATAATGTGTAACAAAATGTTGGACAAAACACGCAATTCGTCGGAATAACGAAACAAAAATAGTAACAGATACTTTTTTCAACTTTTTTATGTGAGCCTATAATGAACATTTGAAATTTGAACAAACTTATACCCTACAATTTTCAGAGTGTATGTATCTTAATTAAGTGTATAAGAGGTATTTGTTAAATTTTCACTATAAGATCAGAAAAAAAATGAAAAAAGGACTTCTTAATACTTTTACTATTTTCTTCGCTATTCCAACAATTGTAATTTTTACGAAATAACGAAAACATGTCATCTAATAAGTTAATCTTTCTAGCTTCTCAAAAAACTCAAGTCGATTGGTCCAATTTTAAAAAAAAAAGTACGTAGTGGAACAGGTGCGGACGCAGCAAAGATGATACGCTAAGTACGCATGCGACAGCAATCAGTTGTTAGTACAAAATCAATCTCCGCTGGGCGACGAATGAAAGATTGACAGAGCGTATGCGATGAATTGTGTTCCTTTTGTGTCTCTTTTATGAAATATTTGTGTAAGTATATAACACCTGCGTCAATTATGTCAATAAAAAATAAATAAATATCATTTCCAACAAGAGATTTGTATAGTATTCCATGTTTTTCGTATGTGGAATACCCGGAATATATATTGTGCCATTTTTACAATTTGTTTCTCGAGAATATCATGTCAAGTATCGCGTATGTAATTTCATTAATTAAAAAAATAAGTATCATTGCAAGTACGAATAAGAAGGTTCATCCTTGCACACATTAGTACGTATTGTTTAATTCTCGGATTTCTTTCCCTCGCGTCGTTCTTTTCCTATGTTCCGCAAGAATCGAAATCTCGCCTTCAGCCGTAGCTGTTCCATCGTTCTCCTGACGGGCAGAATTGTCGTGTGGCAACAACGTAACAAAACAATCGATACGATCCACCACATGTTACGAGGTTACATTTACCGACTCCCTCTGTTTTATCGATGCTCGTGGTAACGCAGGCTAAAGTGACTGACAAATACCATAAACGCCTCTAGCGGAGAATCCTTGAACTTGTTACGACGCATTTTGCGCCGTGCCCCTTCCGGCCCGAAGTTTGACTCGGGCGCGGAAGAACCGAGAACCGGACCGCCTCTCCACCGCTCCTTACTCGCGCGAAATAACATCGAAGCGCTCCTGGAGGATTTGTAGGGGAAATACTGCCGTTAGAATCCGAACTAATCACGTGGTAATCTCGCGCCGAGTTACCGCTCGCGATTACAGGGCCGTCACGATAGGGGTCGTGACCACCCTGTACACCACTGTCACACTATCGTAGAAATCCGATTTTTGTTAATTTATCACTTGTGGAAGGCGTAAGTTGGATTCTACGATATGACGCGTCCAGACTCAGGAATATACATTGGTATAGTTCAAGGATTCTCCACTAGCGGCGCTTATGGTATTTGTCAGTCACTTTGGCCATGTTACCACCGAGCATCGATAAAACAGAGGGAAGTCGGTATATGTAACCTCGCAACACGTACTGGATCGTATCAATTGTTTTGTTACGCTGTTGCCACATGTTCCCCACTAATTCTGCCCAACAGGAGAACGATGGAATACCTACGGCTCGTGGCGAGATCTCAACTCTCGCCGAGCTTATAATCAAAGACATCGAATAAACCTTCAAACAACTTTTGTCAATATGAGAAAACGCGCTGGCGAGCGTCGAGCGTCGAACGTCCGAGGCCAGCGACCGACCATCGGCATACAATGTAAACAGATGTAGATAGGATAAGGAATCACGCACGAATGAAAATTTAAACTTTTACAATCTGCAATATATATTAATGAAAATGTCATGAATTCATTGAAGAAATTCTCTCGATGAAAATGCGTACAAATTCGAGCGCAATGAACAATTTTTATTTACACGTAATGTTGCGATAAAAATGACATTTTTATTAGAAATGGTCCGAATGATGTCGTGTTTGGACTAATTTTCATCGTGAGAATGTCCTCACTTTGTTGGTAACATTTTCATAAAAATATATTGAAAAATGTAAAAGTTAAAATTTTTATTCTCGCGTCACTTCTCTTCTGTTTACTGTGGAATGCTACGATTCTCGCGCTGCTGGCCAAAAGCAAAATACGACGAAAGGCTCCTCGTGTGTTGTCTTCGTGACAGTTAGCTTCAAGACGTGGAGTCGATTACACGTAGTATTCGATCCTTTTTCGCGTTTTGTAGTGTGAATTGTGTAAGTGGAGTGAAAGTTCGTGTACAGTGTACAGTTAAAATGAGTGACACCGAAAATGTGTGTATCGAGGAAATCCACGAAGGAAACCGCTTGAGCAAGAAAACAAGTCGTGGAGTAAAATTAACTGTGTTCAGGAAGAGATATTCGAAAGCAAAAGCATACCGTGAAAAGAGACGACGCTTAGCCATTCAAAAGAACGATGCAGAGGAACATGTAGAGGAACCGTCAACATACGGTGGACAAATGCACACCACAGAGAAGATTATTTACCTGCCATCAGACGAGGAAACTGAAACGGCTAAAAAAGACACAGATTTAGATAGTGCAACCGGCGAACAAGGTAATTTCATCATAGAAGAAGTAGGGATGAACGAGCCACAAGAACAATCGTCTTTCTCAAGTGGCTTGAGTGTTGTGGACATGCAGCACATGTTTGCTGAAATGTAGAAAATAGGAGACCATGCAATAAATAGAGAAGACTGTGGAATTAGGCACCTAAAAATAACCGGCACGAAACGATCGGGCCTGACGACCACCCTCAGCGTAATGTGCACTATGT